CCAAGGGTGTCAAACTTGCATTGTCATGGTGGCAACACCTGTACTGATGTATTGGGACTTTTTCCCCTTCACTAAACCGGGCATGATGTGGCCAGCAAATGGCACATCCAGCCTGCGGGCCACGAATTTGACAGCCTTGGTCTAGACGGATACCAAACCCAGAAAGGCAAACAATTCACCTGAGCATCAGATGCCCTGATTAAAATAAATGGCACAAACTATCAACAACTCATTTTGAATCACTTGTCTTGCCATTTCACTGAACATATGGCTTTCTATATCCATAAAAAACTTGTCAAGCTAAGTTCCAGTATTTTGCATACAAAACTCTATTCTGATAGAAGTCTGCAAAACCAGTTAAGTTTCTACTACGTTAAGTTTCCGTTATGTCAAGCTTCCATTGTTTGCCAAACTTTTGTCAAGTTCTACTAATTATCTTTAAGTTTTTGTTTCGTTCTACTACCCCAGATCACTCATAAAGGTTCACATATTTTTCCACTATCTTTGATGTCTGATATAATAGATCAATTCAGAGTATAATCCTGGTAGATGCTATCTTTCCTTAAAAGGCCAATCTAAATTAGGTTTGTCTAACATTAGAAAAATAAAATGCAAGTCAAGTTTTGAAATGAGTTTTTGTTTTTTTGTTTTGTTTCTATGCATATAATGTGCTTTATTAAAATCAGATGCTTTATAAATCAAATGCTTTATAAATCTCAAGTTTTTCAAAGTATTGGTGCTGACTTACAACCAAATTAAAACTCTTTGATAATTATATTCATCTTAACCTTCAAAGTAGTTTCAAAATGCTTTATTTGTATACATTTGAATAGTAAAACAATGATTCCCTATAGAATAGAATGGATGGGATGGGACGGGACAGAACGGAATGGAACGGAACAGAATGGAACAGAACAGAACCGAAAAGAATATAATTATTTATTGGCCAAGTGTGCACACACAAGAAATTTGCTTTTGGTGCATATGCTCTCAATGTACATAAAAAATACAGTCATCAAGAATCATAAGATACAACACTTAGTGATAGTCATAGGATACTAAATAAGCAATCAAATCATACTAGGAAATTAAATAAAATCCAAATGCAGTGCAATCTTAAGTAAGAGTCAGAGGGTAATACTACATATCTTTACTTGGAAGCAAGTCTCTTCCAAAACATTATAGAACAAGAAGAGATGAACATGCTTGTGGTATCAAATGAGTGATTAGCACTCTCCTCAGTGGCCTCTAGGGGAACTTGTTGCTTTTGATGCTGCAAGATCTGACTCTTTGAAGAGCATGTGTGAGATAATGATCATATAGAGAAGAAGCATGGCTGCTATCACAAAACTGCTTTCATCAATCTGACCGTGTCCCACTTCCCAAGTACAGGCCATTGATTCCCCCCATTAAATTCAATTAAAAAGAGAATCAGATGTAATAGAATTCCCCTTTTAACATACTTACTAATAAATGACTAAGGCATACATATCTAATTTTTTCCAGTCTATGACAATGTGATACAATTCACCTTTCCTACATGCATGCACACACACATACATATGTTACATTATGTCATTATGACATATCCCCTTTATGGAGTTTTACATGACTCCTATTTCTGCATTGGTTTCTTTTCCCCCCTATTTTGTTTGTTTTGGGGGGCAGGCAGTAATTTTGCTATCTGCAACATTGTGACAGCTTAAGGCAAAATGAACTGTATATACAATTCTGAAAGATTCTGTATATTTCTTCCTTCAATACAATAATCCCTGGGATCTGGATAGTTAATCCACTACATACTGTTATCTTAAGTGCAATGATCCATGTGTTCAATTCATGATAGATGGCTCAAACCCCATACAAAAAGATATGGCTATGTACATCTGATGATTCCTAATAAAGATTCTGTAAAAAATATTATTTCTGTGTTTCTATGAAAACCTTGCTTTCTTGATTGTGAACTGCTGTACATCAATACTAAGTCTCTCTTTCTCAGAACATATATTTACAATATTCCATTATTTCTATGAATAACCATAAACTGCAAACATGTATTGTTCTACTTTTTTTCTTATTATTAGGATACATCCTATTTCTTTAGAAACTTGGTATATGATTACTTGCCAGCTACTGAGTTTATAGACATTTTATTGGACTTCAAAAAACCCAAAAATACTTTGGGTTTACTAAGGTATGCACTTCTACAAATTAAAATTTGGCCAATATAATCAATAATCCCTGACATACCAGGTGCTCAACTTCAGGCTCCACTTTCTTTCTTTTCTTATCACTGCTTCAGTTTTATTCCCTACCATATACTGTCCATTGACCAATGCCTAGAAGAGTCCCAAGTTCAATAGGACAGATGGTACTTTGGCAGAGAGAAGCTTTTGTTTTATGAGTGTCAGCAGTATGATGGAAATGTTATCACTGGACGCAGAAATGCCACTAATGTCTCCATAATTTTATTAGGCAATAGTGCAAGCAGCATGGGTAGACTGACTGAATAATATATTTAGATGAACAGTAAATATTATCCACCTCATCTAAATTAATACGAAATGAAATAGAAGCACTGCTGGAGTGAAGCCTGAGCTGGCCAAATAGATCATGTTCCATATACAGGAGGAAGGGAGGGAGGGAGGGAGGGAGGGAGGGAAGGAAGGAAGGAAGGAAGGAAGGAAGGAAGGAAGGAAGGAAGGATCACATTTTTTTTCTAAGTGTTGTTTGCAAATTGGAAAAAAAATGGAAACTTTAGGCTGCTTCATTTCTATTGTAAGGTGCTAGTAATGTAATAAATAGAATTGAAACATGGTTCTCTTTAGCACATATATTATCTAATGTGATCATGTGCATATCCAGGATTTTAGGCAAACATTTTTTCAGCCACGACAGAGATTGCATTATGACTTTTTAGATCCAAAGCATATGGTACCTCATTGAATAATAGAGCTTTATGTTCATTATCTATACTGGTAAAATTAGATTAAAAAATATTTGGCACTGATCAGCTGATCATGGATATTGCTTTAGAGGCAGAAAAGGAAAAGTCAAACACATAGTGGACTCTAATAACTATATTAAATATTACATTTAAATATATATTAACAATATGAATGATGCTTGATATCATTTGGTAGAATGGTCACCACAGCAAATATATATGAATCATATAACTGGCTACATTTAGTTCTCATTTAGCAACTGCCTTGTTTAGTGACCCTGTACAGTTCCTGATGTGATGAAAAGTAACTTTACAACCAGTCCTCACACTAGGAACGTTTGCAGATCTATAAAGCAAAGGAAAGCCAAAGTAAGATCATAAACGCAATTATGAGTTCACTAAGCAACAGTTTCACAAAGTGACNAATCGAGGTGCACCCGCAATCACTCGCGCGGCTGCGTTCTGCACTAGCTGAAGTCGCCGGATGCTCTTTAATAAGAATATTTCATTCATTCAGATCTAGGATGTCTTATTTTTGTGTTCCCTTTAATTTTTTGAGCAGAGTACATAGTACTTAGTAAATAGGGCCAATTGTTTGTCTAACATGTTTATGGTTCTGTACCAGAAGCAGATTAGGAGGAAAAGCCTTTAGCATGTAACTGATAAAGGTTTTATCAGTTTCAGACAACAGTGCAAGTGGGAAGATTCTAATCAATTAATTAAGGTCATAGCTCTAAGTTTGTAAACTTCCTGTTAGCACTTATTAAGGGAAGCTCACATCTATATTCTTCTTCTGGGGGAAAGCTCAGATATGCAAAGGGGAGGGGCAACATTTGGCTGTCTGCTGGATGGAGGTCATGAAGACAAAATGGAAGACATACCTTCTTTTTGCTGGATATCTGGTAATTCTACCCCTGTGTAAAAAGAATGGTTTCTTATCACAAAAGCAGCAAGATAATGCCCAGGAGTACCATGAACAATTCACTAACCATTTAGACCTGAAGCTGAAAGCAACGTTTGAAAATTATTTCAACTGGACCAAATACTATACTATGCTTACCCTATGGTAAGCAGGTCTTTAGGAACTTCACAATTTCTTTCTCGTCATATAAATCCTGAGCTTGTAGCAGTTTGATTCCAACATCTACAGTCTACAGTAAATCTTTGAAAAATAACTTGAGGCTCTCCTAACACAAAAACAATTAAATGTACAAAAAACCACAAACCCCCAATATATCCATATTCTAAATCCTCTGAGGGGTAAGTATAATTTTCTACACACGTTATATTTTAATTACAAAGTTCTAGCTTTGTTTAAGCGTGAATATTTTAAGAAAATTTAAGAAAGGTAAGTTTCAACATATTAAGGCATAAAGCAGCAGGATGTTATTGCTGAATGAAATATTCACCGGTTGATATTCAAATTCAGGTTATAAAATTTAAAGTTAGGTTGGACTGAGTATTTTATTAACTAAATTCTATTCTCAAGGTAACAAGGGAGAGGATGTCCATCAATTCCTTACAAGCGCCTTCATATCAGTGGTGTGAAAGGTAATGCAGGTGCTGCCAAAAGAATGCATGAAAATCACTTTGGTTTTCTCCAGTGGGAATATGTATCTATCTTCTATACTACAGAAACAATGGTTCAAGGAAGGGCAAATCTGTAGCCAATCCATCATATTTTAAAATTAAAAAAGTAGAATTCTTCTGAAACTTACTCAGATTCGTTGAATGGCCTAAAACAAAAATTATACTTTAGAATTAAATATTAGATCTTGCAATTAACAGAAACACTATGTTATTGTATAAAGTACATATTGTAGAACTTGGTAAAGAAACAACATACTGTCCTAAACAAATAATCCATAATATCTGACTACTACAAGAAATAAAAAATGTGTTCAAGTTGGCTTCAGAGAAGCTGGAAAAATGTTTCTCTTACAGTTCCTTTTTGTCTCTTTATGGTTCAACATAATTTTCTTGTGTTTCATTGAAAGCATGAGACTTATATTGTTTTATAATTGTTTCTTTTATTATAATAATGACAAAAATATAACTTTAAAATATTGTAATATTTATTGTGCTAATGAATATTTAGCTCTAAATCAACATACATTCACCAGCTGTCATGATCTAAAAGAGTTAAGGAATTATGGAATAATCCCTTCATATAGAAAATATATGAATTTCAAGCAAGTAGCACAAGATCTCCCCCCCTTCTTAAGTTTATTTTATATATTTACTCAGAATATATATGAAACTATGGGGTTTGTTCACTGATTCATTTCACGGTTGATGGTTTGCTGGTATTTCTGCAGCAGGATATGCTGCTCCAGAATGGAGTACATCCACATATGCAAAGCTAGTTGACATTACTGTCAATGAAGCAGTACACACAGTGACAGGATGCCCTAAACCCACACCAATTGAGAAAATGTATCCTCTGGCTGGTATTGCTCCACCTAGGATTAGGACAGAAGTAGCAACAGTTGCTGAGAGAACCAAACGAATGATCTCCGACATCCTCTGAATGGATACGTGCCCCAAACTCGTCGACTTAGATCTAGGAAGAGATTTTATGGCAGGAGCAAAATTCTATTAGAAGATGGGAGGAGGACAGAATTTATGGAACAAGAAATAATCTCGAAAGAAGACACGGCTGAGGGATTTGATCTCCCTATGTTATTTGGAAGACATTGAGGGTAGGAGTGCCTAAAAGTAAGATCAACATGCTCAGGTGGGGGTTGCTGGTGGATAACAACATGCAACATGAAAGTGGGGAGAGGCAGAGTCCGTTCCATTTGTTAGCCTGTTAATTACTATCAGTAGAATGCACCAAAATGATTTGTTTCTGGTCAAAAAGGTAGCATCAATTTGGAAGTTTAAAGTTTGATCTAGACACAAAATAAATAACAATCACTTAGGTCTACTTACTATTATCTCTCTCCCCGCCCCTTGAGGAAGCAACATATCAAACAGTTCAGGAGAAGATAAACCCTAATGAAAATTGGTTACCCCTCCTTGTGCAAATTTGGAGAATTTATACTTAGAAAGCTAATGTTGAATTCAGTGAAGTATTCAGATAATTATAGAGAAAAGATTTATATTGTAAAACTGAAATCTATTTGTAAGTTTCTTGTTTTTTAAACCCGGAGGCATTTTTGTATATTTTGCTATATAAACAACTTAAATTAAATTACACTTACATTAACACTAAAATAGTGTTGATAAATTATTTAGCTTTCTCAAAATCGCAGTAATATACAATTTTGTGAAAAAGTCTACAGGTATTTTTCACTGCAGTTTTTCAAAGGCACCATACAGGCTTACTCTGTAATTTTACAGAATATCTTTTGAAGAAAATTTGGCTAGAATATATGCACACACACACAGAATTGAAGGAATGTACTAACTCACTTAAAAAAGTTTTACTTTACAACTACTGTTCCTGTTTGAATCCTGATTTTCATCATCCTTATTCCACCCTTTTTTCATTGGAGTAAGTTCTGGAGCAACCACATCACCATCCTATCAAATAATAAAAAAGAAAGAAATGAAGTTTTGCATTTCAGATCAGCTGTTAAGATATTTTATCACCTTCTCTCCTGACAATTGAAATAAATATGTGTACATTTAAGGGTTAAAATATTATCAGGCCTGACGTATCCCTGTGCATGGGATAAATCATGATTTTTTAAAATTCACAATCTTTTTTATTGCTGTTAATGAAAATACCAATTTTATATAAATAACATTTTAATTTCTAGTACGTTCATTAATATAATATAGCATATGAGCAACATTTGTGTCTTACCAATGCTTATTGCAGTAGCCCATTAAGAAGTACACAGTAAAGAATTACACCTTCCAAAATTTACAGGAGGGTGGCGCATTATGAGTGTACCCTATGTATGAACGTCTTACCCGTGGTTTAGTGAAATCCTTATCCATACACCACTGAATAAAGTATTTTGTAGCAGCCTCAATTATCTTTGCATCCTTTTTTTTACAATAAACTCTGATGATCTGCTCTGCAAATTTTTCTGGGAGCAGCTGTGAAACCTTAAAGACAGAAATAATTAAAATGCTTAACTTCAATAACATTCATGATCTTTCCCAAGCAGTGAAACAAAGCACTGAAAGCCATTATAAAAGGAACATCCAATACAATCATGATAGAGCTGGTGTAGAGGATTCCCCCCTTTAAAACAAAATATCATTACAGGTAATTCGTGACTTATGACCAGTTGCTTACCAATTGTCCAAAGTTACAAAGAAACCTCCAAAAAGTACTTTTGACCCAGATTTGAAGCTGCCATGGCTATTCTCCTCCCCAGTCACATATCATATTTTGGGTACTCAGCAACTGGTCCACATTTATGGTTACAGTCACATAACTATTATTTACATTTTTTTTCAGCAACCAGCTGATTTACTTCTGATTTCAGGCAAAAAATGGCTGAGGACAAAGGATTCACTTAATAATTGCAGGATTTGCACTACAACCACAGGGTTCATGTTACAACGGCTAAAAAACCCACTGTAAACTCAGATATGGTCACATGATAACCTCATGACTTCTGAACATAATCCTGGGCTCAAATATGCTCATAAATGGAGAACCACCTGCAATATAGTGGCTATTTTAAAACCAACACATTAAACTGGCAAAACCAAACACTCCCATTTTTACTTACTTGTTCTCTTGTAATTTTAACTGCCTGAGTGATGTCAGTCTTGCAGTAAAAGCGAACACTATTGATAGGGTTCCTTTTTTTCATTCCATAATCCATATCAATAACCTTTATGTATAGGACAAATTCAAAATAAAGCACACTTAATAATTTATATACATACATGTTAAGAAAGCAAAGATATTCTATTAAAAAAAAAACCTGAGCTTGGTTGTTTTCTTGCAGATGTTTTATTACCCAAACTAAATAACATCATTACTGCTAATGATCAGTGGTAGCACTGACGCTGTTACCTAGTTTGGGTAATGAAGCATCTGCAACAAAAAGAGCAAACTCAGATAGCACTAAGAACCCCTCATTTCAACTCTGAGCTACAGATATTCTGGTAAAGCAAAACCAAAAAAGCATCTTACTTACATCAACAATAAAATCTTCAGCCTTCAGCTCCACATCTACAGAGATTGTCTTAGGTTTGGAATTAACAATTTCAGCTCGCAATCCATCATAATCTTCCTGGAAGGCATAACATTTTTAACTTTTCATTGAGTCAGCAGACAACAGTAATTTCAGAAACTTGATTAATACCTAGAAAAATATTTGAGTTATATGTATCATTTACTGCAACAAATATATAATTGCTATTACGGTATATCTATATACTGGTATCATCTATGAATATGAATATGTATATTTATATAATTTTCAAAATTAGAAATTTTCGGGAATTAGATCAAAAGTCATCAGTATTGGCAAGAGAATTCTAAACTCTTCAGGTGGACTGAAGTTGAAAGTGAAGTTAATCTCCATTACAAAGAGAAGGAAAATATAGGTTGGTGTATTTTAGTATTTGTTATTTCATGATAAAAATGTACGATAACATTTTCTTGAAAATATACAGTATGTAATTGAAGTATGGGTTAAGCTAAGCTTAAGTTAAGCTATGGCTCATATGACCTAGCAGCCTCTAAGGTACCTGCAGTATTAAGATGCAGCACTCTTATGAATGAAAAGCAACAATTCAATTTTACAAAAAGAAAAATAAGAATATTAGTTATATATAGAACTATGGAATGAAGAATTGGAAAATCTACACTAATGTATAATTAAGAAACACAAAACATAATTATTAAATATGAAATTAATTTATTGAAAAATTCATTTTTGAAATAAAGGTTTTGGGGAGGGTTTTTTTTAGTATCTTGTGAGGTATAAGCCTTTTGAAAGCATGTGTGCCTGCACAGCAATTTAATTCTACTGCTAGTTCCAATAGAAGTTTCTGTATGTTTTGTATGTATACATGCAAATGGAAACTGCAGTCATGCAATCTTCCTAAATGAGCTGCTTTATTGTTTGATGAGATGTTTCATTTGGGCCAATTCACAAAGTATTCAATTATCACTTTTGAATACTTTGCAAAACTTAAGAATGAATAATAAGCTATACTACAAGAGCTGTAAATATAACATTTGGCTCCAGACAGCAATTTTTTATCTTTTGTGCAAACAATTAAAGAAAACAGCTCCAAGTGAATTTATCCAAAAGAGAAAATTAAAGGCACTAATAGAACGAATATAGATGAGCAATTGTCTTTTTTATTCCCTGTGATGGCTGTCTGCCTTAGACATTTTAATTAACTCATTGAACATTCTGTTGCAAAGGGAAAAAGTCCTACTTAATTCAGTCTGTTTCAACTAATTGCAAAGGGAGTTTTCAATGTTCAAAAACATTTTTTTCCTGCTACCCAGTTCACTACCCAGTAATTACAAAAGGCTGCCACCTCATCTTTTCCTGTGCAACTGGGATGAAAGGGCTCATTTCTATGATCTCTATGACCCAAACACTGAAACATTAGTTCTGATTAGACAATCCTTGCCCTGTTGGCTTATTGTTTCAGAAATATTTCCTTACCCTAAAGAAGAAATAAAGTTTGGGGGAGGGGGGAAGCAGTCAAAATAGAAGCAACTACTTCTAATTTCCTACTGCCTTCCCCATTTAGTTTCCTTCTGGGAATCTGTCAAGGAACATTGGAAATCTCTCTCCCCCTCCCCCCCCATTTCCGTCTCTTCCCTTTCAGGTAGGCAGATAAAAGACTGCTGCTGCATGGAGGGGAAAGCAAAGGACTGTGAGACTGGCTCAGAAACTGTCAGAGAAGCTTGAAAATAAAGATCACATATGATAGCAGCCATGACTTTCAAAAATTTTATCCCTTGGGAGTCATGGGCTCCAGATTTTGGAAGCATTCTGTAAGTTACTCCATTTGAAGTAACTTGGTTCAGAAATTGTTGTCCGATGATGCACCATTTCATCCAATTAAATGAGATGAGAGTTTTATTAGTATAGAAATGGAGCACTCAAGCTATTAAGAATTCGGTTTAAAGGTTATCACCTTTAAAACTCTACATGGCACAGACCAAGGTTATCTGCAAGATCGCCTTTTTTCTAAGGACGTCCACCTGTCTTACCAGGTCTGATAGGTTGGGCACAGTTCTCATCCCTTCCCCAAAACATTGCTACTTTATGGGAGCGAGGAAGCATGTATTTTTTGTGGCAGTCCCTGCCTTAGGGAACACTCGTCTCCCTGAAGTTGGCCAGGCCTCTACTCTCCTAGCTTTCAAAAAAACACTGAAGAACTGGCTTTTCCTCCAAGTGCTGGGATAGGATCAGGTGACTGCTAGAAGTTTGATTGCATGTCAGGTTTTTTTGCTTATAATGTTTATTGTTTAATGAGTTTTTATGTGGTTTATATTCTTGATTGAGAGCTACCCAGAGTTTGGTATAAGATGGGCAATTATAAAAATGTTTTAAATAAAATACATGTATACATAAACATATACCATTTTGCACATAACAGAAGTAGCAATACACTGGTTCCTGCAACATTTTTAGATGCCCTCAGTCATCGTTCCCTATTTTTAATGATCCAAGTCTCAAAATATTGCCAAACTTTATGAATCATGAGAGATTTATATTTAGAAAATGTAAAAGATATAGAAAATAAATGATTGTTCAATTATTATAGCTAAATGAATTCATACAATTAAATGATTTAACCAGTGCAAATTGTCTCAACCTTTTTAATTTCCTTGCCCTCTGGTGGCTGTGTTTCTCCCAAGCATTTAAAGAGATCGCGCTGCTGTATTTTACACAGAATTTCGCGTGCATCACTCAGCTCTGGTTCATCAGAATGTAGAATCTTCAAAAAGATTTCATCTGCCAGAAAGCGTTATATAAATAATTATCCTCATATATATTTTGTTAGCAATTTCAATAATAAACAATAATGCAAACTAAAAGAAAGAAAAGAGAAGAGAAAGAACAAAATATGGGAGGAAAAATAAAGAAAATGAAGCGAAATAAAGAAGTGACTTCCAACCTTCATTACAAGTATAGACAAATTTAGAAACCCTTCACATCTTATATGGCAACAAATAGATAGCTCTTCATCCCATATCCCATCCATATCCCATCCCATATCTATAAGCAAACCCATAAAACACCAACTTTTCAATCCTGGTGTCAGCAAAGAATTTGTAAAGGGTTGCCAGAACTTCGTAACAAAGTCTAATTTTAACCTTGATCAAGTAAACCAACCTGTCGTTTATTCACCCGTTCTTTGGTCTTTGCTACAATTGTCAGTTCTTCTTTAATGCCTTAATTATTAAAGCTAACTAAATATTTTTATACCCATGAAAAAATATAAGACATCTTTTTCCAAGTCTAAAATGGCAACCAGTAACCTCCCAACAAACAGAAAATGCTTGTTGTATTTACGACTTTTAATCCAACTGAAGTATATCACTCATAAAATGGAGGAACAACAGGGTAAGATCTTTTTTCTCATTCTCTAATTCCACAAACCCTTCTGAACTGTGGATTACATAATTGGAGTAGCCTGCAGAAATACCTTGTTTTTGAAAGGATTTGCCGTTTCGGTGGAAACGCTGTTACAATATGATAGCACCTTGCTACAAAACTGAAACCTGAGAAAAATACTTCTCATGCTTAGTGTGATAAGAATTTCTGGAGAATCCACACATGCGCTCTACATGGGGCAGCCCTTGAAGAGTATTCGGAGACTTCAACTTGTCCAGAATGCAGCCATGCGAGCGATTGTGGGTGCACCTCGGCACACCCACGTTACACCTATCCTCCGCGAGCTGCACTGGCTATCGATCAGTCTCTGGATATGCTTCAAAGTGCTAGTCGTAACTTATAAAGCCCTTCATGGTATTGGATCTGGGTACTTGAGAGACCGCCTGCTGCCAATTACCTCCCAAAG